GCGGCGAGGCCGAGGGCAGGGAACAGAGAAACGAAGCCAGGGAACGGCGGCAGATGACAGCAGCGAGGCCCGGGGAGGGGCGGCAGGCGAAGAACGGGCCACAGTGCCGGGGCCGGCCGACGCAAACCCAAAGAGAGAGTAGGACGTGACCAAGGAACGCCAAGAACACAGCAAAGCCACGAGGAGACGGGCGGCAGGCGGAGCGCCAGCCCAAGCGGAGGCAGAAGAGGCGGGAAGAGCCAGAGAGGGAGACCGGAGAAAGACGCAGGCCAAGAGGCAGGGGGCCGGGGACAGACCGCAGGACGCGCGGGAGAGAGGCCCAGGCGGAGGAGGGGGAGCAGGCAGAGGGGGACACAAGAGAGGAACAGCAGAAGAGAGAGCAGGACGAGGGACCGGAAGAGACGGGGAGAGCACCAGCAAGACGCCGGGAGGGGGGGGAGCGGCAGAGGGAACGGCCACGGCGGCGGGAGGGGCGCAGAAGAGACAGGCGGGACGACGGGCGGGCAGGCCACCAGGCCAGCACGGGGGAGAAGAGCCGGCAGGGACCGGGGGGGGAGAAAAGCAGACCGCCAGAGAACGGGACAGGGGCAGAGCCCAAGAAGAAAGAAGGCACACCCAGAGCACGAACCGGAAACGCAAGGGCGAAGGGAGCAAGAAGAGCAGGAACACGAGCGGAGGCAGAACCCAGAAGAAAAGGGCAGCAACAGACACCAAGAAAGAAAGACGAAGAGGGGCACGAGAAGAGAGAAAAAGAGACACAGCCGGCGGAGAAGGCGAGAAGCCCACAGAGACAAGAAAAGCAGGGAAGCCGGGGGAACCAGGCACGGGGAGCCGGGGGAGACCGGAGAGAGAGGGGGGAAGCAAACAGACAGGAGCAGGGAACGACGGAGCCGCAGAACCAGGGGGCGGGCGCAGGGAAACAGGGGCAGCGAGCGCGCCAGGGAAAAAAGGCGGGGGAAGAGCCAACGGGCGAAGAGACCACCCACGAGAGACGGCGAAAGAGAAGAGAAGACGAACCGGAGGGGGCGGAACCACAGGACGAAAGGGCGCAAAAAAGGCCGCGCCAGCAACCGGAGGAAAACCCGGGGCGACGAACCGGGCGGGAGGACGGGCGAGGGAACCAGCGGCCGGCCGGGGGGGGCGGAAAACCCACGGGCAACCAACAACAGGCAGACCGGGGGGAGAGGGAACGAGACGCCACGGGAGGAGGAGGGACCAAGGCAGGGAACGCCGCGGCCAGGGCAGCACGCCACGCAGGAAACGGGACCGCCGGAGAGGAACAGGGAGGCGCAGGCAAGAGAGGGGAAAAGAGGGGGGAAGGCAACAGGGGGAGGCGGCCGAGCGGCGAGGGCGGGGACCGAGGAGCAGAGGATGCCGGCGAGTGGACGGCGGGCGCGGCCGGCCGGCGGCGCAACCGCCGACGGGCCGAGACAGCGGGCGCACGCGAGGCGGGACGGCGCGGGACCGGGACCGCAGCAGCGCCAGAAGCCGCCACGGGCGCGGGAAGCGGCGAGCGCCAGCAGGAACCGGGGGCGAGACAGGCACGGCCGGGGCCGGCACAAGGGGGCAGGAGCCCACCGGGCGAAACGCGGGGGAGCAACCGGCGAAGGCAAGAGGAGAAACAAAGGGAAACACCAGGCGCAGCGAAGCGCACGGGGGCGGACAGAGAAAAAACCGGGGAGGGTGAGGGGCCAAACAACGAGAGCCACGAGAAGACGGAGGAGAGCCGAGAAAGACACAGGGAGAGGAACGAAACGGGAGGGGAGGGGGAGGAGAAGGACGGAGAACAGTAAAGGAAAGCACAAACAGCCAAACACGCGCAAGGAAGAGGAGGACGGGGGAGAGCGAGGGAAACGGAAGGAGGGGACGCAGCAGACAGAACACGAGGAGGCAGGGAGGAAGGAGAGACACAGCAGGGGCAAAAGCAGAGGCCCAAAAACGAGACGGAACAGAGGCGGGAGCCAGGAAGGACGAGGCCGGGCGCAACAACAGGACGAGGGCGGCGGCGACGCGGACCAGGGGGCGCAGGAGGAGACGCACAGGAGGGCCGGGGACGAAGACCGAAGCGAAGCAAGAGGGGAACCAAGCGGGGAGAGGCGCCCCGAAAGCAGAGGGAAAAGAAAGAAGCGGGCGAGAAAAGGAACGGGCAACGAGGGACCGAAACGGAGCAAAGAGAGCAGACAAAGCAGAGGGAGCACGCAGGGGAGAAGACCACAGAGAACGAGGGGAAGCAGCCACAAACAACACAAAAGAGGGAAAGCCAGACGCAGAAAGGAAGGGCGCAGGGCCCCAAAGAGCGGAAGAAAGGAAGGCCAAAGGAGGCGGACGAGGAGGGGCGACACGAGACAAAGGAAAACGAGAAGAGGGGCCGAAGGGACAAGAGGAACAGACAGGGGGAAGAGCACGAGAAGGAAAGGGACCAACAGACGAAGACGCGAAAAGGGGACGGAAGACGCGAGAAGGAGGAGGCCCCAACCGCAGGGGCCAAACGGAAGAGGACGCGGCAGCAACAAAGGCAGCAGGGAAGCAGAAGACGCAGGCCAGGGGAGAGACCCCCAGACGCAGGGCCCGGAAAAAGAACCGGCGGGGGCAAAAGGGCCGGCACAGAGAAACAAAGAGGGGGGAAACGCAAAGAAAACAGGAGGGGCCGGGGCAAAACGCGGGACAGAGAAGAGAGAAGAAGAGAGACCAGGGACAGGCAAAACAGCAGGGAACGGAAAAGACACGAGAAGCAGGAGCGAACGAAGCAGAACCAACAGGAACAAGAGGCAAACCGGGACCAGGGCCGACGCGCAGAGGCGCCGGGCCAGCAGAACGGGGCGCAGAAGGCAGCAAAGAAGAAGCAGGCGGAGCAGGAGGGGGAGCACCAGGGGCAGGGAACCACGGAGGAGGACCGGGGGAAGCACCAGGAGCACCAGAGACGGCCACAGGAGCCGGAAAACCCGGAGCCCCGGAAGAACGCCGAAAACAACACGAAAACAGGGGGCGCCCGGGAGGGGACCAAACAGGGACAAAGGGGACAATGAGCAGCAGAGCGCCAAAAACAAGGCGCGCGCGGGGGACCAAACATAACGGGCACAAAGGGGACCGGAGCAGCAGAACGCCAAACACAAGGGGCGCCCGGGGGGGCCGAAACCGGGACAAAGGGGACACGGAGCAGCAACGCACGGCGGGGACCGGACCGCGGCGGAGACAGATGCGGCGGGGTGGAGGCCAGCGGAGACGAGTAACAGGAAGGAACAGGGAGGGGGGAAAAGAAAACCGGGCAGGAAGGAGACCAAGAAGGAGAAAGATAATGGGGGGGAGATGGCAACGAATAAGAGCGGAGAGGACAGAGACGAGGGAAGAAGAGAAAGAGTGAGAGAAGAGAAGCCAGAAGTCGAACACGAATGAGAGAGGCCCGAGGTAATGAGGGAATAAGAGGCCTGAAGTAGGGCAGGGGAGCGGAGAGGCAGTCAAGAAGTGGGAGAAAAGGAGGGAGAGATGAAAGACAAAAGGGAGACCAGGTAAAAGCGATAAACAAGAAGATAGCGGCCATCCAAGGGAGTACCCCGAGGGGGAGGGCCAGGGGGGCGGAGAAGAAGGGGGGGGGAACGTTGGGCGAAAAAGCCGGGACGAACAGATAGGGGGGCGACAAACAGAGTCACTTGACCGGGAGAACGGGGGGAGCGGGCCATCGGAGGAAGGACGATGGGACAAATGGCAGACACAAGAGAGGGAGCGGACAGCCGGCAAAGGGGAAGGTGGAAGGCAGGGAGGGGGAAGGAAAAGGGACACAGAGGTAGAGGGAGTAAAGTAGCAGGGCAGAGAAGGGACCGAGAAGAGGAAGAGGAAGGAGAACAATATGGAGAGAGGAGAGAGGAGAACACACACACAGAGGAGGGTGAAAAAGGAGATGAACGAAGAGGGGAAGAGGGAAGGGTAAGAGGGAGAGAGGGGGGCCGCAGCGCGCAGGAAAAGACGAAGGAAGCAAAAGAAAACAGAGCCAAAGAAGGAACGACGCACGACACGAGAGAGGAACGGGTAAGGAAGAGGGGAACATCAATAGCAGAAACAGGCGAAAAAGTAAGGGGAGAGAAGAAAGCGGGCAGGAACGAGAGAGAGAGAGGCAGTAAGCAAGGAGTCGTCGGGCCCGAAGGGAGGAAGAAGAGAAAAGAGAGAAGCAAACAGAAAGAAAGAGGAGACAGAAGCAAACAAATAGCGAAGAAAGCGAGGGTGGGGAGCTGGGGAACGGGCAATGAAGGGAGAAAAGAAAAGGGGGGAGGGGGAAAAGGAAGTAGCGAAGAGGCGCGGAAGGAACGACTGGAGGAAGGGCAGGGGGAAGGGAGACGGAGGGGCGGGATGGAAGGGGAAAGAATGAACAGGCCGAATGGAGAAACAGGAACCAGGAACAGCGGCAGGGGCGGATAGGCACGCGGAGAAGGGGCAGGAGGGGGCAAAAGAGGACCAAAGAGTGGGGCAGGGCGCGGAGGCAGGGAGGCACCATGAATGAGACAGCGGCCGAAGGCCATGAAGGCGATGCTCGGAGGGGGGGAAGCCAGGGGGGAAGCGCTAAGCAAGAAGGGGGGAGAGAAGAGACAAGGACCAGGAAGAGGGGAATAACGACACAGGCTGGGAGGTCACGGAAGGAGCATAGGGGAGAATCCATCGAGAGAGTAAGACAGGCAAAGAAGAGACGGAGAACCAGCGGGTCCACATAGGCGGTGGGGACGAAGGCAGCCAAACGGCGCGGGACAACGGAACAGGGCGCGGAGGGGGTGGGGGAGGAAGGGCCAAAAGAGAAGGACACGGGATGGAAAAAAAGACAGGGCCCGCACGAGATGAGGGTACGAGATAGAACAGGAAAAAACGGCAAACGGAGAGGGAAAGGAAGCAGGTGAGGGGGGGTGGAAAGGACAACGGAGC